TTTAAGAGGTAAGTGATACATTTGAAATTGGTAAAAGTCCATGGTGCCGTATGAGTTATGTATAAGGTTGTAATAACATGTTGAATAACTATGATGTAATGTGTTGTGAATTATCTTGTGTGTGATGTGCTGTAATTAATCTATGTGTCATGTAGGTCTGAAATTAAGTTGTCCAGCTCCCCTAGCCAGTGGGAGAAGATAGCACTGGCTGTCTCTGTAGTCCACTGTATGTTGTCAGTTTGTGTTATGAAATCCTGGTCCGGGAAAGCTGAGAAATGTGTATAGTGTTTTATTATGTGATTATTGATTATTGCCAGATTGTGCTGTTCTATTGCTGGTAGATGTGGTGAATGGTTGATAATAGGAACGATTATGGAAGCATTAGGGAAGGCCGAGCAAGCCTTGTTGACCACAGTTCTGAGCTGTTTCACAGAGGTGTTGTGGGGATCCTGAGCCCTGTTATTTAGGCCCACCGAGAGGATCAGCACTTTTGGGTTTCTGTTAATTGGTGTTTTTTCCAGAATCTTCCAGAAATGATAGAAGGAGGCTCCCGGGTAGCTGTCAGCCTGGACAAAAGGGTGGTTAAATTTGGGGATTCTGTGTATGTTTGAATCCCCCAGTATGGCAATTGGTTTATTAATTTTGAATTCCCAGTCCCGCAGCTTGCGGTTGTCTCTGGCCTGATGGTAAGTGGGGTCAGAGGCTGTGTCTGCGCATGCGCCCGCGCCCCGGTGGGGAGAGCCCCTCGGCTCGGTACGTCTCCCGGCAGGTGTATTTTTGGAATGGGTGAGGAAAGATCAGAGTTGGAATAGTAGTCTGTCATGTTGACTTTTTGACCTAAATTACTCATCATTTCATTTTTCCTCACAGATTCTGTGTTACACCGGGGAGCCGCCTCTGCCTCAGTGGGTGCGCTCTCCCCACCCTGATGTGATCTGGGCGCGGGCGCCGGGAGATGGAAGGTGTCGTTTAATACTGACCCCAGGCCAGACTCTGCATGAACGCAGGTAGGTGTTGGGGTGCTACTGCGGGACTGGGAGCCCTGTGTGTCATTATTGTTTTTTCGAGTAATTATGTTTGTTACTCCAGGCTGACAGCAGTCCTCGGGAGCCATGGCATTCACCGTCCTCTGGGGGCAGCGCCTGTGGGGGGAAGTAGGAGGTGAGTGGTAGTCTGGGACTGGGGTGTTGTCCAGAGGCTGTGGAGAGATGTGGTTAGGCTGAGGAAAAGAGGGCTCCGTGTTAGGCAGGTGAGGAGGGAGGGAAAAGAAAAATCCTCATCCGAATCACAATATTTCAGGGGGGAGGAAGGGTTAGAAAGAGTGGCTGTGGTGAAGAGCAGATCATGTGCAAATGTAATTGTGTCTGGATCGATTCTGTTGCCGTAGCGTCTAAGAGCCCATTGTGTGGCTACTGTAAACGCCAACTCGTTGCCAGGGGTGTTAAGGAGATGTGTGATTATGTCTTTGTAATGTGCTAATAAAATGTGCATGTTTTGCCATAACCAAGTGAGTGTGTTTTCTTTGAGTGTGTCTGTTGTGTTTTGTGATGGAGAGGATGGTTTTATGAAGCTGGCCAGTTGGAGTGTTTTGCGTAACATCCCTTTAGGAATTTCGCCCTCCTCAAAAGCCTGCTGTATGTTGTTGTGATGATGTGTGGCTTGTATAAGTTTTAAGTGATGTTTAGCTGCAAAACGGGTGGATGTGTCCAGTGCCTGTTTAATTGGTGTGTGTGTGTTCGTATGTGCGGTGTTGTTTGTGCCGTGTGTGCTGCTGTGTCTGCTTTCCGGTCCGCTCTGTGTGTGGGGAGAAAAAGAAAAAGAGAGAGAGGGAGGGGTCCTGTAAGTTGCAGCCGCGGGTCTGCCTGCTCCCCCCAACCCCGCTCGTGTCGGGGTCCGCTGCCCTCCGCCCTGTGTGCACCCGTGTGTGTGTGACCCACCTGCGTCCATCTCGCTGCATGCGGTTGTTGCGGTTTCTGCGTCATGTCGTTCCGTGTTTCCGGGTTCTCTGTGGAGTAGACTGGGTGGAAAAAGTCTTATTTCTTTTTAATCCAACAGAGGAGGAAGCCGACAGTTGCGGGAGAGGAGGATGAAGCGCTCAGGTAGGCAAGGTGTTCACACCGGGTGCTATTAAAACGTAACTTTTAATGATTTAAATTTAAAAAACCAACGAGGGTCCTGGTTCCGAATAATAAAGAGACTAATTAAAAAGTTTAAGGAGCGGCAGCGGCTCCGCTGACAGAGCAGGATCCCCTGACGTTTCGTGCCTCGCCGGCACTTCTTCAGAGGGGAAATGAAAGGGGGAAAGGGTTAGGGTTAGGGTTAGGGTTAGGGTTACCTGCTGGAGGGCCTGGTGCGGTGGAACGAGAATCGAGGCAGGGCGGCAGTTGAGGGAGGACAGAGGTCGGCGCTGCGTTGCTACAGTGCCCAGCTGCAGCACAGCTTCGACCAGCTGACCCAAGAGCTTCTTGGGCTCACGCTGGTCGACACTTACACCGTGCCCAGGGAGTACACAGGTAAGTCATAAATCTGTCTGAGGTAACGGTAACGTTTAACACCTGTCTTAGGTGTCTGTCATTTAACATCTCCTGACACTCCAGGGACTGATGAGGAGGAAGCGGGGGGGGCAGTGATGAAGGGTTCGGAGGAGGAGGAGGAAGAGGAGCCAGAGGAGATTCGTCTCCTCGAACACCACAGCGCTCTCCTTCAGTCCTCAAACCTCACCCGCCCCCCCCGCTTGGACCTAATGGAGGTGCAGCAGGCTGAGGAGGAGGACGTTATCGGGCCAGACGGTCGAGGCAGCTACCAGCACGTCGTGGCCCTGGCCCAGGCCCTCGTGGAACTGCGCCACCGCCGCTACGTCACTCCCAGGCAAGCCAGAGAGGTCACCGCTCTCTGGCTGAAATTGAGTGACTGGGACAAGGCGGCGGTCACATTCCCCCCACGTCACCAGGACCGGCTCGTCCAGGGCCGATTCAGGACCACCCAGCGGCACGCTCACACACCAGGGGTGGATAGTGTGAAGCGGTAAGCAGTCACAATAAATTTCCGAGCTTTGTTTGGTTCTTGTTCTGTGCTGTCAGTCACTAACTAACTCACTCTCTCTCTCTCTCTCTCTCTCTCTCTCTCTCTCTCTCTCTCTCTGTGTGTCAATGTAGTGCGGTCCTGGGCAAGGGGGCGGGAGCGGCGCAGTCTCCCGATGTGTCGAGGCTTGTGGAGGCTGTCCTGCTGGACCTCAGCATCCTCCACTGCAGTGAGGGGAGGACGATTGCCGGGGTCCGCATTCATCGCTGGAGTGCCGTCATGAGGGACTATCAAACAATTCGAGAGAATGTTTATAGTTGTGCAGCCCTCATGCAGGCACCCGCATCCAGCTGTATGAGGTCAATCAGCGGACCCTGACGCAATGTTAAGACCTGATCCTTTCTCTCACATCTGATCTGAAGTGGCATTGTGTGTGTGTGTGTGTGTGTGTGTGTGTGTGAGAGTGTGTGTGTGTGTGTGAGTGTGTGTGTGTGTGTGTGTGTGTGTGTGTGATGTCATGATTACTAATGTGCATTTGTTACATTCTGTTTTTTAAGGCACACCAAGAGGAGCAAGGCGATGATGAGGGACACCATCGCCATTGCAGTCCCGGGGCCCAGCGCTTCCCAGACTGCAGCGGAGCCCCTGCCTGCCCCACGGACTGTGCTGCAGCAGCCTGAGCAGCCAGACCAGCCCCTCCAGCACCGCCTGCCTGCGGACGCTTCTGGTCTGGCTGCCACCATCAGAGGGCCGCTGGCCCCGGAGCTATACGACCTCATCGTCGCCAGCTCCTCAACTGCCACCACCTCCTCCTCCTCCTCCTCCTCAGCCACCCCACAAGCCTCCACCAGTGTCAGCGCGGACGCCGTCCGTCCACCAGTGCCAGCGCAGAGGCAGGTGTCACCCCCTCCACAGCCACAGCTGCCACTGCTCCACCAGTGCCTAGAAACACTGCCTGGAGGCGCAAGCTCCAGGAGGAGAAAGAGCGTCGTGCCCGGGAGCTGGGAGAATATATGAAACCAGCAAAGAAGGTCTCCCACTTCAACTGCAGGCACTGTGGCCAACCAAAGACGCGGCCGTTTGGCCACAGCCGCTACAAGACGGAGACCTTCTGCTCCCGGGCCGACGGGAAAGGGAGAACTGTGGAGCAGTGGCTGGCAGAGGTGAAGGGGCGTGATGGTGCAGCCCCCCTCCCTGAGCGAACACTTTGTGTGTGTGTGTGTGTGTGTGTGAGTGTGTGATGGGGCAGCTCCCCCCTCCCTGAGCGAACACTTTGTGTGTGTGTGTGTGTGTGAGTGTGATGGGGCAGCTCCCCCTCCCTGAGCGAACACTTTGTTTGTGTGTGTGTGTGTTTGGGAGGGAGGGATTTGTAAATATTGTGTATATAGTGTATTTAGTTAGTCAGTTGTGTTTGTTAAATTAATATTATGTATATAGTTGTCATATATAAGTTATACCTGTTTATTTGTCCCACAATGGGCAAATTCCAATATCTATATAGTTGTATATAGTTGTCTTAATTGTTTTAGTTTAAATAAACTTTTCTTTTTTTAAACCAATGCTTTCTCCTGCTTCTTTCTGCCTTTAAGAAATTAAATAAATATAGGGAAGACTAGGTATCTAGAATAGGTGCCTGATATCAGTAAATCCCCACAAGTTACAGTCACAATACATCATTCCCTCTCCTCACTTGAAACTAGGGTCAAGGGGTCAACCAGGTCAGGTTCAAAGGCTTACTTAGAGACTAGGTGAGAATTGGCCTTTTACAAGTGGACATTGTAAAACAACAGGGGGTGCCGAGGGGCCTTCACTTCTCACCTCCTGGCTTCCTGATTAAAACAACAGGGGGGCTCTTATCTCCTGCGAGAACTTGGGGGTTTGACCGGACTGAGAGAGGGCCGAACTGGTAGGTGTGTCTCCCCCAAGAGGGGTTTCAAAAAAAGGCAAAAAACAGACAGTCAATTCATTCAAGCATTTTATTTGGACAGAATGGAAGGCAGAAAAGCAAAGCGAAAAACCAGACATGTCACTTCATTAGGTTTGTTACAAATACACTTTTTAAAACTACATATGTGTTTCTATGTACCTTGACTAACAGAGTTCTGTATTGTATTTTATATTTTAGGGGACTACGACTGCACATCCTCCTCATCCTCCTCCTCCTCAGCCTCCTCATCCTCCTCGTCATCCTCCTCCTCCTCCAGCTCCTCTCCTCGACAGCTTCAGGCAGCAGAGCCAGTGGCGGGGACCAGCAAGCCCACCCGTTGCACTGTCTACAGGCGCAAAATTAAAGCGGCAAAGGACAAAAAAGTCCTCCAAGCACGCACGGTGGATGGTGGCCACGCGTACTTCAAGGGCCAATACTTTTGTGCTGTGAAAGAGGGCCCTGGAGGACGCACAGTGCAAGAGTGGACCAGGGAACAGCTTGGCCCTGGTGAGCTGCAGAAGCTCCCCAGAACAACAGCCTGGAACCTCAAATGAAGGTATGAGAAACCAGAGAAACCGGGGGGGAAAGTGAGGAAGCCCCACAAACTGAGGATCTGCCAGCTCTGTGGCCAGCCACAGCAGAAAGACTTTGGCCACAGCCAATATGGGGGAGAGCACTTCTGTGCTCTTTATGAAGGGAAGACTGTGGAGCTGTGGCTGGCTGAGAAGAGGTCAAAAAAACATTAAAATTATCCAACTGTACTGTATCATCCAAGCACCTTATATGTTTCATCTGTTCATTGCACCTTATATTTTTTATTTTTACTTTGGACTGCATTATACTGGTTATTTATACATTTTTTATATTGCATTCTATATTGCTTTTTTTGATTGTGTGTGTGTGTGTGTGTGTGTGTTTGTTGTTACTGTGTGTAATGCTGCTTCTACACTGCAATTTCCCTGCTTATGTTATACATTTTTAACCTTTCTAATAAACATTTAATTGATTAAATCCTTGTCTTCTCTATTTAAATATTTTTTAACTTAACTTTTTAAACCTGGAGCCATTCATGAGGCCAAAACCATTCAAATATTAATGTACATTTAACCAAACAAACCTGGAGCCATTCATGAGGCCAAAACCATTCAAATATTAATGTACATTTAACCAAACAGGTCTCGTCGCTTTAAATGCGTGCGGGGCCTTTAATTCTCCGTGTCGCCGCCGTATGATAAGTAGCCATGTGCTCGGGATGACGTAGGACAACAGCTTTTGACTGACACATGTCGAGAGAAGGGGGGGAAAGGGGGGATCGTTCCAATTCTTTGGCGTTATAATCGGGAGAAATAGAAGGAGAGGCTCTTTGGGGCTGCTTTTTATCACACGAGCCCGGGGAAATGCGGCCGACCCGGGGGCCGGGGGGCCGGCTGCGCGCGCCGCCCTCGGCGCTCCCGCACGGCTCCCTTGCTTCTTCGCGCAATATGACCAGCAATGGTCTCTGTATGCCAGCCAATGAGCAGCAGCCAGTGCTGTCGAGCGTTAGTCGAACGTTGTCAGCTCTGGGCCAATGAGCAGCCAGTGCTGTCGAGCGCTAGTCGAGCGTTGTCAGCTCTGGGCCAATCAGCAGCTCGGATTGTCGAGCGTTAGTCGAGCGTTAGACGTTAACGCCCACCTCTTAACCTCACCGGCTGCCGTATGCGACGGACAGAAATCCCCGTGTGTATTTGAGAGAGCAGTGAGATCTGAGAGAGTGAGTAAAACCAAAATAAATAGAATATTAATGTACTGATATAACACAGCGACCCCACTGTACTGTTACGATGTACTGAATGGAGTTAATGTTTTATTACGTTCTGCCGGCACTCTCTGGTTAGCTTATGCTAATATTGAACGTGGACGTCAGGCGTCCTGTTTACACATTTAAACCATATTTATACTTCGAATTTCGACTCCAAACTGTAGTAACTACATCTACAGGGTCTAAGGAAGATAATCAGGTAGTCTGTTTATAGATTAAATACATTGTGAGAGATCGCCAGCCCTCAGAAAAGTAGTAACTAAAATGACCCCATTCACCTCCTTGTTTTTAGTTAGCAAAATCGCGGCTGGTCTGTTTACACATTTAAACCATATTTACACTTCAAATTTTGACTCCACATCGTTGTACCAGCATCCCAAGGGTCTTAAGAAGTGAGCCAAGTTGTCTCATCACGTTTTTAAAGCGTTTCCAGAGATCGTCGGCTCATCACAGCAGTGGCTAAATGCTCATTCATTTCCAACGCTTAGCATGCTAATAGCGATTTATATGCTAACGCATCTAAAGCACAGTTAAACTTTAAATATCAACTCCACACAATAGCAGTACAACATCCTAGGTCTCAACAAGTAAACACAGTATGGGAATACTATTTTAAACACATTTCACCGATCGGTAATGACATCGGCGGCAGTGCTAACTTACGCTAACGTTACATTGGCTCGCTGTTTCACTGCTAACTGATTACTGTATAATATATAAGCTGCCTTTTCGCTGTAGCACATAATCTGTTTAAAGATTAAATACATTTTGAGAGATCGCCATTATGTAATGTAATGTAACGTAGCTGTAGCTAGGATGCTACAGTATAATTACAACATGTGACGATCTCTGAAAACAAAATTAAAGTATGAAAAGACTATACAGTTAATGTCCTTTGAGCCTTAAGGTTATAATATCACCAGGTGAAATCAAAAGATAAAGTTTAAGTGTATGTTTTATACATTAACAATAAGCCTGTTTGTTTAATGGCTGCCAATGCATAGGGGGCTAACCCTGGGCTCATTATTTACCTTTTGTGTCACGTGATGTTAGTTTGTTAACGGTAATGTTTCAATAGTGAATGTGAAGTACCAGTATATCATTAATCTTATGTGTGATATTCCTGGTAATATAGCAGTTAATATGTAGTTTAACCTGTAATGCTCCTTTAATGCTGTGCTGTGTCATTTCTTGTCATTGTAGAAATGGTTTTTGCAAAACTGCAATTCACAGCCTCGCAGCAGCTTCTCCTGCGGGCCTCTGGTGAGGCGGTGGCCTACATCGCCGCCGAGGGGCCACGCGGGGCCGCCGCTGCTGCGAGGGCCAAGAAGCCGGAGGAGGTGGAGAAGGAGGCACAAGCCCACGTCGTCTCCACGGGCGGTGACCCTGGGAACCACATGCTGGTGCTGAGCTGCCACAGCATCCAGTTTGGGAAGTACCAGGGTCAAACGTTCCGTTGGCTCCTGGAGAACGACGTGGGCTACACGGTACAGTTGGTCGCCAGCCACCAGCAGGAGCGGGAGAAGAGTGCCTCCGACAGCCCCCCTTATGGCCAACAAGGACGCTCTCGCCCAGTACTCGTGCACCCACCCGGAGTTCGCTGAACACATAAGATTCCACCGGGCGCACGAGGAGGCCCGGGCTCGTGCCAGTCAGCCCGGGTGTGAGGGCGAGGCCCTTGTTGGCTTTGGGAAGTCTAAAGAGGACACCCTGAAGGACCTGTACGAGTCCTCTGATAAGGACCGCCAAGGGTGAGTGATTGGTGCTACACACAATGGATTGTGAATTGCTGTATGTCATTATTGTTCACTAATGTGATGCCGTCCATGTTGTAGATTTGTCAAGTGGCTTCGAGGGAAGACACTGCACCCTGGGACTGCAATGGACGCCGCCAGGAAGTACATCCTGGGCCGAGACGCGAAGCGGTCGGCAGAGGCGGCAGCTGCGGCTGCTACCCCCCTCCACCCACCAGCAGCCGCAGCATCAGCAGCAGCGCCCCCACCACCACCAGCAGTGGCCCCAGCAAGTCCGCTGCTTCCACCGCGCTGTAGCCACACAAGCCGATCGCCTCCAAGATCGCCGCCGGCGTCCCATGGGCCCAGGTGAGCTGCAGGCCAAGGTCAGGAAGCTGATGACCACACCTGCACAGCCTGCAGTTCGAGGTAGATCTCTTTCTTTCTCTTTAACACAACAGAGTACAGTTCACTGTACATGATTTACTAACCATTGCCCAACCCCCCCCATAGCGGTGTCTACATCCTTCAGAGACCAGCGCCCCTCGGTTCCGCCGCCGCCCCACGCCACAGAGGTGACGGACGAGGAACTGGTCCAGATGGCCACTGACATAGAAACAGGTAACTGGCACCAAACTGGACGTGTCACATTTGCCATCAATATATATTCTTCTGTCAGTGTGTTTGTATTAACTGTAATTGTTTCATTTACTGGTCGCTACAGCTGATGCTTGAAGGACAAAGGTAGGTTTGGCAGGTAATATAGCCATCTTCGTAGGTGGTAGTGCCATCCTCACTCATGTGGCGGTAATGTAGATTTGATTAAACGCCTTCACATGTCTACTTCCCTTGGCTCTGCTGCATCTTGTAGCACTAAACCTTCTGCCCTAATCACTGGCATACTGCATGTCATCAACACTCAGACTCACTTAGTCTTGTCCCATGACTATCATTGTGCTGAATCTATTTTGTTGTGTGTGACTGTGTCTGAAGCTGACGTACAGGTCCTTCAGACTCTCCCGCTCCCGCTGGTGGTGACGCCTCCATCTCCACCTCCTCCGGCACCGTCGGAGGAGGTGGAGATGGAAGAGGAAGGAGAGGAATGTGGAGCAGCCCGCAGCCTCCACTCCTGCTTCGGCTGAGGTACAAACACACACACACACACACACACACACACACACACCCACCTGTACTCATGGACGCACAACTCAGTGGAGTCGACTGTCAAACTGCATGTAGCACCGACTCAGCCTCCTTACAGTGTGTTTGTTTGTTTGTGTTGTTTTTTTCCTCACAGGCCCGGTTGCCTGAGAGCTGGCGGACAGCTCTCACCGTGGAAGAGCAGGAGTGGATCGGCCGGGAGCTGTTCCAGCCAGACAGCAAGGGGAGGACTAAACTCACCACGGACCTCAAGCTGTGGTGGGATCCCCCTCAGCCCCGGCCGAGTTATACTCAGCCACCCGCCTCACCAGCTGCCTTCTTCGCATGTCGGCTGTTCCTCTGGACGCCCCCTGCGTCTGAGGTAGGCACGCCACCTCTGCATCTCACATCACCACACTGCGCTCTTTTCCTCCCATTCATCTGACTGATTGTTTTCTGTCTCTGCTTGTGTGTCTGCAGGACTACAGAGGACCAGATGACCAGCCGGGGTACCTGGCCGTGGTCCAGTTGGCCACGGCCTTGGTGGGGTTGCGTTTCGAACCGGCCTTGTCCGAGGGGAGGGTAGATGAGCTAATCAGGCTCTACGAGGCCCTGTCAAAATTCGACAGGGACCGAGTAGTTTACCCTCCCCGCTACAGGGACAGGCCAGCTCGGGGGCGCTTCAAGGCAGCGAAGCCTAGCCGCACCAGTATACCTGGTGTGGAGAACATGAGACGGTAAGGCTACACTTCCATCACACGTTTCCCTGACGTACACACGAGCTATTGTAATGTTCACAGCATGCTCATATCCATCATTGTTTTTGTCCGTTGTCCGCAGCTGCCTGGTCGGACAGACCTCTGGACCTGCCAGCAGTCCCAGTGCAAGCCGGCTGGTAGAGGCAGTGTGCATCCAGCTCTGCCGCGTGTGCCCCTCAGGCACCCGTGTGAGCGGTGCCCGGCGGTCGCGGTGGGACAGCATAACTGCTTCGGTACCAGCACATCCGGGACCTTGTGCTGGGCCACCAGAGGCTGATGGCTCGGGCGCCCATCCAGCTCTATGAGCTGAATAGCAGGACCCTCTCGCTGTGGTATGTTTGATGCTTTGGACAGTGTTATATGTTATGGTAATGACATGCTTGAATTACATGCTCTCAAAATTGTACATGTAACCAAAATACTATGTTGAAATCCGTTCTCAGGTTCACCAGGACGCAGCGGGAGAAGGAGATGGCTGTGCTAGCTCCAGGCGTTGCAGCAGAGGGACGACCACCAGCGGTAGCGGGCTCGGCGGCGGCAGCGGTGGCGCCAGCGACAGCAACAGCGGCAGCGCCGGGCCAA